ATTCATCAGGAGCAGGGACATCACTTTCAACGAGATGTAGATGTATAAGGGCAGGGTTAAAACTCAGAACTGTCTGTCAACTACTTCTGAAGAATACAAATATTTGGAGATAGATGATATTGATGATCAGGAGGATGGAGAAAGAAGAAGTGCTCAACCAGAAGGAGCACTGAAAGTTTCTTAGTGACCTACTACAAAAGTCAGAAGGTCCAGCAGAGTGTCACGACCCGTACCCAGGTATTCTCCGTCTTTACACTATTTGTTACCGACTGATAGCGGTGAATCAGAGTGCTTTGAGGATGCCACTCAAGTTGAAGTTTCAAGGGGGCTGGAGCATTCCATGGATGAAGAAATGCAATCTTTGGAGTCAAATCAGACTTAGAATTTGATGATACTGCCAAATGGCAAAAGTGCACTGCAAAACAGGTGGGTCTACAGGCTGAAAGAGGAGTTAGATGGTACTAAGCGCTACAGGGCAAGACTTATTGTGAAGGGTTTCCAACAGGAGGAATGAGTGAATTATACAGAGATCTTCTCTCCAGTGGTGAAGATGACAACTGTCAGGGTTGTGCTGCGTCTGATAACTGTGGGAGATCGACATATGGAACAAATGGATGTAAAGACAATTTTCTTACATGTAGATCTGGAGGAGCTTTACATGGTGCAACTACAAGGTTACAAGTTTCTAGACAAAGAAAGTTTGGTTTGCAGATTGAAGAAGAGTCTTAATTGGCTTAAAGTTGAGACAGTGGTACAGGAGGTTTGACAGGTTTATGTCAGAAAATGGGTACTTGAAGTGCCACTCAGATCATTGTTGCTTCATCAAACACTTTGGTAACTGTTATATTTTGCTTTTCTTATATGTAGATGACATGTTGATTGCAGGGGCAAGTATGATGAAAATCAAGGACTTGAAGAATTAGTTATCAAGTGAGTTCGAGGTGAAGGATTTATGTCTAACCCGGAAGATCCTCGGGATGAGAATCAGCAGGGACATGAGTGCAGGAACATTGAAGTTGGCTCAGGCAGAGTATGTTGAGAAGATCATACAGAGGTTCAACATGAGTCAGGCGAAACCAATTAACACTCCGTTAGGTAGTCACTTCAAACTATCCAGGAGCTAGCTCTTAACTCTGAAACAGAGAAAACACAGATTGAGAGAACTCTGTATCCTTCAGCAGTTGGAAGTTTGATATATGCGATGATTTGTATCAGGCTAGCTATTTCTTATATAGTGGGAGTTAAGAGCAGGTATATGGGCAATCCAGACATGCATCATTCGAAGGCCGTAAAATGGATTCTCAGGTATTTGAGAGGAACAATTAATCGTGTATTCTGTTATGGAAATACAAGGATGAATTTACAAAGATTTTAAATTCATATCTGGCGGGAGATGTGGACAGTAAGAGAAATAAAACAGGCTAGATCTTTACATTGGAGAGCGCACCGATAAGTTGGGTTTCTAGGTTGTAGAAGATAGTTGCACTTTCTAATACGGAGGTCGAATATGTTGTTATCACTGATGCCAGCAAGGAGATTGTTTGGCTATAGAGTTTCATGTCATAATTGGAAACCTCAACAGTGACAGTATGAGTGCGATTCATCTTGCTAAGAATTTTGTTTTTCATGCCAGGACGAAACACGTTCAACTTAGGTATCATTTCATTCGATCTCCTCTGTAAGGATGAGCAGTTATTTTTGGAAAAGATAAACACAGCTAAAAATCCTATGGATATGTCGACGAAGGTGGCGATTGTTGAGAAATTGAAGCTATGCTTGGCTTCAATTGGATTTCATGAAGATTGAGACAAGGGGTGAGCCACACCACGGTACGTGACCACACTATGTGATTCTAAAGGCGATTCAGATGGAGGTGCAGGTATAGAGGATTGGTGCTTGATCCTTCGCCTCCAAGTGGGAGATTATTGGGTTGTAATGTGGAGCCGAAGCAATTCTAGCAGCAAGCAGTAGGTGGGTAATTTGGGCACCTCAACTCCCATTGACGAGCTCTTAACAGAGGAGTCGGTGCCTATGCACCGGCTTTTGGCGCTTATGCGCCCGATATAGAGCATACCCCAATCTTTTCTCCTGAGAGACCGACATTTAGGCGCCTGTTTATTGGCGCCTAAGTGCCGATTTATGGGCGCAAATACAGAGGATTTGACGCTTAGGTGCCTGGGAGCAGTTAACTTAGGATTTTCGATTTCATGCCAATTTTCGAGCATGGAACATAGATTGTATGTTGAGTCTTCCTTTGGTATTTTTCGACAACTTTTTGGCATAGGAGAGAAGGGTTGAAGAGGAAGATTTCTGGAATCTCAGCGTGTGTTGTTCGCGTAGGATTGGAGAAGAAAGATTGTGGAGCGTCATGTAAATTTCATCGTGTGTATGGAGAAGAAACTCCTGAGTCCTTTATAAAAATTTCTAAATTACATAGTGAAATATGTGTTGGTGTGGCTCTGTGGTTTTTTCCCGTTCTCGAGTATTTCCATATAAAATTATTGTGTGTTTTTTTGCTGTTTTGATTGTGCTATCTATTTATTTTTTTCCCGATTTTCTCGAATTTTGTGATCCTATTCTGCGGTGACATTGAGAATTCTTTGGGGATTTCCAACAAAACTAATATCAGAGCGGGATTCAATTCTAGTGGGAGTAATGACCGAAGAAACAAAGTTTCAGGTGGAGAATTTGTTGTTCCAGAAAAATTATATTTGTCACAACAGGGAATCACAAAAAAGCCTGAGTATGTTTTTGGAGGAATGTGAAGTGTTGGATCGAACGACATTGGGTTTGATCGAGTTAACGCTTTTCCCATCTGTTGCGTTCAATATTATGAATGAGAAAATTATGATGAATCTCTTGGAGACACTGACCAAGATGTACGAAAAATCATTTGCTTCAAATAAGGATTTTTTTTTTATGAAGAAATTATTCAATATGAAGATGGTAAAAGACAGTTCAGTGACAGAACATCTTGTTGACCTCATTTTTGAGGTCTTCCCTTCCCTCTCCCTACAGCATAGGTTCTTGCTATAGGATTTCCTATTTGACTCTTCAAGGAGACTACTACTAGGACCCACATTATTTAGAAATTTGAGTTATTTCTTGACTTCTCGTAGTCTTGTATGGGTGGTTTCAAATTCTCAGCATATAGTTGACTGAATTAAAACCGACATATTGAAACTCATGTTGAATTTCCATAGGAATTAGAAAAGCCATAAGGAAACTCCACGACGTGTGATGAATGACTTATTGCCGAGAATAGCCTACTTGACTTTGGTTGTTGCTTAGGCAAGGACCGGTCATCGCTTTGCCCATTAAACGGCTCCGGTCGAACCAAAATACTTAACTTATCGCGCCCTCACGCGCATCGAATTCAAATTGACCCGATCATTGACAAACCTGTCGAACGACCTTGGATGACGAAACGGACCTTGTGGGCATGTCCGGAACATCAATTTTACAAAGGGAGGATATCCATTCTCTTAGGACTCCGCGCACGAGCGAGTTGCACGTAAATCGATGAACATAACATAAAGTTTAAAAAAGAAAATAATGTTTTTAAATCTAACTGACGCACTCAACACCTCTTTCCCATTTGACCGGGAGACCCAGCCTGCTGGCGTCATTTCCTCACCCGTGCCTTCTCCTTCACGTGAGGAGTTGACCTCTTGGCTTCGCCTTCCCGAAGCTTGTTCCTGCTTCGTCTCGCTTGGTGACGGGCCTTCGTGATCCTTCATTTCCTCCTTCGGCAAATTGACCCTGCCGGGCCTGTCTCCCCGATACATTCGGTTAGCTAAAATCCCCTCCTTCCCATTGTCTTCGGCTCCCGGGGCTTCTGGGCCCTCCCTCTCTCTCAATTTCGTCGGATCCTGCTCAGATGAATTTTTCCTCCATCATCTCAAGTTTGGGGATGCAATCGTCCCGGAGAAGGCAAATAAGGCTGATTCAAAGCCGTCTTCCCCAATTCCCGGCCGTCCTCTTCGCGGGAAAGAAGAATCAGATGGAGTCCGAGAAGATCTCTTCCCCGAATTTAACAGTAAGCTGCCAAGGATGAGTAGAGTTCGTTCTAATAAATCATATTTAACAGGAGAAGGGAGATGAGGATCTGGCCCATTTCAACAAAAGTTCAACTTTGATTATGAATCTAATGGGGAAAGCTTAGATTTCTGCCTGCAGCCAGAAAGTATCACCGGATTCAGCTGAGAGAGTCAAAGGAAGCCATGCGCCTGATGATCCTTTCAGTTCTGATCAAAATCGTGAGCCTCTTCATAAAGGAACTTATTATTGGCATGTCAATTCCATATTTCATTGGTACACAAATTGGTGAAGAGATGGCCAGAGGAATCAACAATCTTCAGATTAGCTGGTGCAGGAAATTGGTTTCATTAATTTCGAGCTGTTGCATTAATAAGGATGTTTCCATTTCCATGTATTATTTTCAACTATGGCAACAAAATTGGTAACTAGCAAGTTCTGTGCTTCTATTTTCATATATTTCTAAGTTACAGGAAGGTTACAAGTAGGTTACAGAGAAGTTACAGAGGGTATAACACGGATATAACCCTCAATACCTTCCCTGTAACCTAACTGACGTACGCAGCGCTGCGTACGTCTTACGTACTCAAATATTTCTCCCCTTTAAGAACATGAGATCCTAACATCACATTACTTACAAACCACTCAATTCCTAAGTATTTACATGTCCAACTCCCAAACTTCAATTCCTAAGTATTTACATGTTCAACTTTTGTACACTACAAAAGTGAAGTACAGCTTTTCATGCCTAGGATTATGACACCAAGGTTTTATAAGTGTAAAGATCAAAGTTTGGGGTTTATGTATGTGAATATATAATAATTGTGTGGCATGTATGTAAATCTCCCTGTAAGTTGAGTCTAAGCCCGGGTTGCTTTTGTTTACCTGCACATCAACCTGGGCTTAAAACACTGTTGCGAAGTTTCTGAGCTCCAACCATGTTGGGTTAATTTTTCTCGCAGGCAGTAAAATGGTAGAGGATTTTAGCTGTCTCTTAAGCCCAGTTCAGCAACAATTTTACTTCCATCTTCAGGTAATTTTAAGACTAATTATCTGAATCCATTTTGTATGCTCCCTTGATTATATTGTACTTATTGTGGTTCACCCTTGTGAAATGATATGATCAGCAACCTGAAATCTACTTTTAGTAGTTTGCTTTTGCATTGCAATTTTGTCCCTTTTATTGATTTATTTATTTTTAAGAGGGGTATTTACATATGTGTGTGTGTGTGTGTGTGTGTGTGTGTGTGTGTGTGTGAAAGATATATATATACATCTCTATATCTATCTATCTATCTGTATGAAAGATTTGCATAGTATAATGTAAAGGATTTACATGCATGCCGTCAACTTCTTATGTACCAACCTATCTTATGCATAAGTCTTATGTTTACGTACCACTCAATTGCCATATATTTACATGCCTAACACCTAAACTTTATTTTTTAATATAATGTGTCACTTTACCCATGCACGAAAAAGCTATATTTGATACACCACCAACAAAATTTTATCATCCAACACGAGTCTCGAGGTATGACACGAATCTCGAGATTATATTGCTTGAGATGATATTTTAAGCAAGAAACATTCAAATATTGATAAAAAGTCATCCAAAGCTCCGATTTCAGCAAACTTATAGTTAAACTGACCGGTTCGATGAGATGACCTAATGATATGAAAACTAGTCCAATCCAAGTCAAATCAAGCCCACATCAAGTCATTAAACCACAATTAAAAGAATTATGAATACATTTAGAAAGTCAAACAACTGTCAAATATGATAAGTTTATACTCAAATCGAGCGGCTCGACAAGACGAATCAACGAGCCCAAGATCATTCAATTCTGACATCATTAAGTCACTCAAATGTCCATTAAACGTTGTATGATCGATGGAAGCTCTCCAGACTGTTCGATCAAAATGGTTCATATTCCTGTATTAATTGTACCGAGAACACTATAAATAAAGCCCCAATCCTCTCATGAAGGGGAAGGAAGTCTAGAGAGAGCCTGAGGTATTGAGAAGAAGCTGCAGCTCAGCATCACCACCAATCGTCGTCGACCACCGCCGATATCCGTCATCGACCACCGTCGACCTCCGTCATCCACCGCCGTCAACTGTCGTAGATCGTGGACAACCACCGCTGAAACGACCACCGCAGACCTCAGACGACCACTACCGACCGTTGTCGACCTCCACCGATCGTCATCGATCACCACCAACCAGACGCCGCCAGTCGACATTGTACCTTGAAAAATATAGTTACCCTTTCCGTCTGTGGGACAAGGAATTTCTGTGATCATCAATTAATTGTGGATTTCCACAGCTGGGCCAGACCTCGTGGTTTTTCCCTTACGGGTTTTCCATGTAAAAACTTCTAGAGTCATCACCTTTTTTTTAATTTTATCTATGTGTGTTGAACTTTCGTATAACCCTAAGACGATAATTTGTTACTCTACAACCACGAATTTGTTAGCACGCATCAGTTTGGCGCCGTTTTGGGAAACTCCCAGTCCCATCACTGAAACACTTTCTCAATTTCCTACATGGTCACCAGGCAAAATATTCGGGACAACGGAGTAGCTCGCTCTAACTCCCATCATTCCAGGAAACAGTCACGAAGTCAAGGGCGATATCTTTCTTCATCTTCCCGCCATAGAAGACGTTATTTAACCAACGAGGGGGTTTCAGGTCCTTATATGAAAGAATGAATAAGTAGAATGAAGGAGTCTCAACTGGAGATCATACAATTCCTACGAGGGATCCAACAACCACTCTCCACATCGATGACCGAAACACTTTTACCATGAAATTCGCGACCTATGAGAAACATACTGCTCGGAGGAACTCGTACCGTCCCCCTACTCAAGAGGGAACAATTCCCTTGTCAGGACGTGATGGTGAACTCCTAGTCACCACAAGTTCCACTCATCCATCTCATGCAGGTCCCCTAGCACCAATACGTCTTGCTACCGTTCCAGATGATGTCATCTGTAATGAACTACGTTGCCTCGTCCGAGAAGAGTTCCCCTAGAGAAAAAAGATCGCTTTCACACTCACCCTAACATCCTTGAATCCTCTCCCTTAGTGAATGAGGTCCTCCAACACCCTATCCCACCAGGCTTCGAGCTGCCAAACATTGACACATATGAAGGAATAACTAACCCCTATGAACATATTGATCATTATCGAACCATCATGCACATTCAATGTGCCTCTGACGCGCTTTTATGTCATGTGTTCCCAGCCACGCTTAAGGGACAAGCTTGAACTTTGAACCTGGTTCAACTCTCTGTCAGGGGGCACTGTAAACACTTTTAACGAGCTTGCCAGACTATTCGCAGAGCAATTCATAGCAAATCGATGGATCATCAAAAATTCATCTCATCTCTCAGGAATTCGTCAAAGTGAAGGAGAGTCGCTCAAAGACTACTTCCGTAGTTTTTCTGCTGAAGCCCGTCAAATTCTGGGAGTAGGTCCAGAGTTACTTTGGGGGTTTTTCTTGAGGGGCTCGCCTAGGACCCTTCTATTCATCACTGTGCGGGAGACAGTTCATTCTTATGCCGAACTTGTCCACCGTGTTGAGGCCCAAATCACTGCAGACGAGGCTATTAGTGCACATAAAGAACAAGTTGAGAAATTTGGGGAAAAGCGCAAAGGTAACTCCAAAAACAAAAATCAATCTTCGCAATGGAGAAAGTCTGAACAACCGAAGAATTGTGACCTCCTCATTCAACTTGCGGGTCAACGAACTGAATATCAACCCAAGAAAGAGTATACACCACTCAACACGTCACATGCAAACATCTTGATGGCCATCAAGGATGAGCAAGCTATTAAGTGGCCTAACCCCTTAAAACCTAACACGGGAAATCAAGAACAATACTGTCATTTTCATCGAAGTCGTGGCCACACCACTGAGGCATGTAAACTCCTTAGGGAAGAAATTGAAAGGTTGATTCAGCAGGGATATCTTGGTCGATTTATTGAAAACAAACTAGCTGGTAACGATAATGTTGCTATTGGGGGCAACAATTACAAAGACAACAACATGGGGGTCACCCAGTCGTAGGTGAAATTCAAACAATTGCAGGAGGTCTGTTGCTGACTAATTAAGTTCTTATCACTACACCTGGTGAACCAACACAGAAGAAATTATGTCTTGAATCTATCACTTTTGATAATTCTGATTTAGAAAGAGTTCGAGTATTTCCCCAAGATCCTCTTATCATTAGCGCAGGAATTTGCGAACCCTACTACAATGTAAAAAGAAATGTAAAAAGAGTAAAAAGAATCCTGATCGACAATGGGAGCTCTGTTGATGTTTTGTTTTACTCCACTTTCCTTAGTTTGGGATTGACAAGGGAAAACTTCAACCTGCATCTGGACCATTGTACGGTTTTGATAATCGACAAGTACGCGTCGAGAGAACAATAAATCTCCCTGTTGTCATGGGAGATTTTTATTGACAGATAACTCACTCAGTTCAGTTCATTGTTGTCAAGTCAGAATCAACATACAATGTCATTTTCAGGAAACCTATGCAATCCATCTTTGACATTGTAACATTTGTGCTACACGTGAAGCTCAAATTTCCAACCCCAGATGGGATCAACGTCATACGAGGAGATCAACAGATAGCACAATCATGCTACCTCAGACAAGCTCAACTACGTCCATCAGTGACACTTAGCATTGAAAACTTTGATCTCCGAGATGAAGATGTATCTCAAAGAGCTTACCCCCGTAGAAGATTTGGTTCATGTCCCGCTCTCTAATGAACACCCATCGAGAACAATACAGCTTGGTTCCTTACTCTCCGATGAGGAAATGTCAGAATATGTAGATCTCCTCTGAGGGAATCAAGATATTTTTGCATGGACTCCGACCGAAATGTCTGAGGTTGACCCTGAAATAATCATGCACTCTTTAAAGATAGATCCAACCTTTAAACCGGTCATCCAGAAGAAGCATAATTTTGCCCCAAATCGCTTTCAAGCTATTGAACAAGAAGTCAACAAGCTTCTCGAAGCAAAGTTCATATGAGAGGTACACCATCCTGCATGGCTGACCAATGTTGGCATGGTGAAAAAAGCTAGTAGTTCATAGAGAATGTGTGTCGACTATACAGACCTCAAAAAAACATGTCCGAAGGATAGCTATCCCCTCTCACGCATAGATCAACTTGTTGATGCCACTTCCTGACATCAGATGCTAAGATTTATGGATACATATTCAGGGTACAATCAAATAAAGATGAACCCAGTAGATGAGGAAGCCACCTCTTCTTAAACAGATAAGGGCTTATACTATTATCAGGTTATCCCATTCAGATTAAAAAATGCTGGTGCAACTTATCAACGTCTCATGAACAAAGTCTTCAGAAATCTTCTGGGGCATATAATGAAGGTTTACATTGATGATATTTTAGTTAAAAGCCTATAAGCATCCCAACACACTTCGCATCTAGAAGAGTGTTTCTAACTCCTTCGTCAATATGATTTACGACTTAACTTGACAAAATGTGCTTTCGGGGTGGCATCAGGGAAGTTTTTAGGATTCATGATTACCCATCGTGGAATTGATACAAACCTAGAAAAAATCAAGGCGCTAAGGGACATGATGTCTCCAAAAAACATCAAAGCGGTAAATGTCAAAGAGGTACAACGGTTAAATGGTCGTATAGTCGCTTTATCCCGCTTCTTAGCTCGTTATGGTGATAAGTATTCGTCGTTCTTCAAGATACTCAGAGGTGCTCAGAACATCGATTTTTAGTTGACAGATGATTGGCAGAGCGCTTTCGAGCAACTCAAGACATATTCGGCTTCACGCCCCTCCTCTCAAAGCTTGCCATCAACTATGAAGTACAAAACATAATTATCTACACTGACTCTCAACTCATCGCATCCTAAGTAGAAGGAGAATATGATGCTCATAACTCATAGCTGGTGCATTATCTCAGTCTCGTAAAAACTCTTCTTGCCTAAATTGAAACATGTCAGCTCATTTACATACTTCGGGAGCATAACACCCGAGTCGATGCCCTCTCCAAGCTTGCAACTTCTTGCAACTTCAATCTTTATAAAAGAAGGTATATTGAGGAGATACATTTTCCTAGCATCCATGACCCATGGGTGATATTGTCTATAGATGACCCAAAGGAACCATCTTGGATGGGGGCAAAGGAACCATCTTGGATTGGATGGATCCCATCATTCCTCCAAGACGGGACACTGTTAGATGATGGCACTACATCAATTCACATTCAATGCATGGCTGCCAACTTCATCCTTATAGGGGATGAACTGTATAAGAAGATATTCGTAGGTTCATATCTCAAGTGTCTTCCTCCATTTGAAGCTGATTATGCTCTACGAGAAGTTCATTTCGGAATATGTGGGGAACATCTTGGTGGCAGGGCATTTGCTTTTAAAATAATGAGGCAAAGCTTCTCTTAGCCTACGATTAAACAAGATGCATTAGAGTTTGAGCAAAAATGCAAGAATTGCCAATCCCACTCCAATCTTACGCATGCACCGCTAGTGGAACTCATATCTTTTTGTGAGCCTTGGTCTTTCTCCCAATGGGGTGGGGGTAGATATCATGGGGTCTTTTTCGATAGCTACTGGACAACAAAAATTCATTATCTTAGCTATCAACTACTTTCACCAAATGGGTAGAAGCAGAGCCTCTTGCCAAGATCACTGAGGCCAATGTCAAACAGTTTGTTTGGAAAAACATCATCTGTTACTTTGGGATTCCCGCAAAGATTATCACTTATAATGAGACTCAATTCATTCGAAGAGTCTTCACATCATTCTGCAGAGATCTTCACATCATTCTGCAGAGATCTTCACATTAAGTTGGTGCACACTGCCACACTGCTGTGGCGCATCCCCAAACAAATGGACAGACAGAGGTGACAAATCGAACGGTGCTCAAGGGGTTGAAGACTCGTCTTGATAACGCTGGGGGGCAATGAGTAGAAGAGCTGCATAACAATGAAGAAAAGCTCCAAAAATAATTGGGCCTATTTGTCCTCTGGGTCTATCGTACCACACGAACTCCTACCTGAGAAACTCCATATAACTTGTGTTTTGGCGCCGAGGCTGTCATCCTTATTGATATCAGAGTTCCAAATCCCCGAGTCAAGACTTTCGACTCGAATAACAATGAAGAAAAGCTCCGAAAATAATTGGATCTTCTCTCAGAAATACGCAATGTGGCCTACGTCAGAGCTGCTTCATACCGCCAAAGAATTGCTCGCCACTTCAACCTAAGAGTAAAGCCTCAACCTATCTCCATTGGTGACTTGGTTTTGCGTAGTATTGAAGCCGCTGGTCATGGTCCCCAACGCAACAAATTGTCCCCTCTCTGGGAAGGCCCATACATCGTGACTGTAGCCCCAAACCTTCAAGCTTAAAGACTCAGATGAAAAAATCTTGCCCTGGACTTGAAATGTCGAGAATCTTCGGAAATACTACCAGTAGCACTTCAATTATATCATCTATGTCATATTGCATACAATGTCAATGTATCTCAAACTTAATGTATCTCAAATACTTTATGCTCTTGGCCCGAGAAATACACAACTCTGGTTGTATCTTAGTCAGAGCAAGATCGATCCCAAAGGGATTTCATCTAACCTCTTCCAAATGGGTTAACATCACCGAGTTTTTACTTCGATAAATAATTCTGGATAGGTTAACAGTCTTTGGTGGGCTACACCTGATCCCTTCCACACAGGTTCATAAGTGAGCAATGCTCCAGCAAATAACCTCGGATGGGTTAATAAGTCCTTGGTGGACTTTCGTGGGATCCTCCCATATATGTTAAACATCACTGGGTAATACTCTAATGTATAACCTCAGTCAAGTAAAATGTCACTTACAATTTATTCCCACGGTAACTTTTTTACATGACATTGGACATCCAATGCATTAAGCCACTGCGTTACTTCGCCCAACACGCCACTGCAACACACTGCCACAACACGTCGCTACGCTGCAACGCGTCGTCACGCAGTCACGTGTCGCTGCGACCCACTACCGCAACGGGTTGCCCCACGTTGCCACGTCGCGCTGCCGCGTCGCACCGCCGCAACGGGTTGCCCTGCTGCGCTGCCGCAACGGGCTGCCCACCCAGCGCCGCCACAACGGGTTGCTCCGCCGCACCGCAGCGCCGTCGTGCCACCGTAAAGGGCTGCCACGCCGCAACCCCATT